GTACCTGTTGGTACCAACAGGTACAGTGGCTCACACCTGTAATCCTAGCTCTGGGAGGCTGAGGTGGGTAGATCATGAGGTCAGGAGTTCGAGACCATCCTGGCTAACAAGTGAAACCCTGTCTCTACTAAAAATACAAAAAATTAGCCAGGCATGGTGGCACACACCTGTAGTCCCAGCTACTCGGGAGGCTGAGGCAGGAGAATCACTTGAACCGGGAGGTAGAAGTTGCAGTGAGCCAAGATCACACCACTGCACTCCAAGCCTAGGCGACAGAGTAAGACTCCGTCTCAAAAAAAAAAAAAAAAAAAAAAAAAAAAAAAAAAAATTAAAATATTTATCCGTTCTTAAGGAAAACAATAACCAGTGCTGACATTAAAGATCAACAAAAACTCCCCCTAAATGCTGTCTTGATATACCAAATCCATTTGTGAGGGTACAACATGAAAGATGTCGGCATAACCGAATTTTAAAAGCTATTTCTGGCCAGCGCGGTGGCTCGAGCCTGTAATCCCAGCACTTTGGGAGGCCAAGGTGGGGGGATCATGAGGTCAAGAGTTTGAGACCAGCCTGGCCAACATGGTAAACCCCATCTCTACTAAAGATACAAAAAATTAGCTGGGTGTGATGGCACGCGCCTGGAATTCCAGCTACTTGGGAGGCTGAGGCAGGAGAATTGCTTGAACCTGCGTGGCAGGGGTTATATAGTTAGCCAAGATCTCGCCATTGCATTCTAGCTTGGGGACAGAGCGAGACTCTGTCTCTAAATAAACGAATGAATGAATGAATGCATGCATGCTATTTCTGTGTGTATTTCTAACCAATATTAATTACTTACCTCAGTGTCTTGTTCTGTAGCATCACCAAATCCATCCAGTTTATTTAAGTCTAGAAATTGGCAAAAGTGTATTAGCTCTTCATTTTTCTGCTTTCCAAATTATTTCCATCCTAATCCTATTTTCAAATGGTAAATGGGGTATAAGTGGAGATTTTAGAATATAAGTGGGGATTTTAGCAAATCACTGAACTCTTTGGAGGAGGTTATAATAGACACCCATCAGGTAGGGTGTGAGGATAAACTGAGGTAACAGAAAAGCCCCTGACACATGGCATCAGGCACATGGTAGGTATTCAAAGACTACTGCTTCATCTCTGTTTCCTTCAGTCTCAAATATAAATTAAATCTTATTAATTCTTACAATGACTTAGATCTCTACTGTTAGCAATTCAGAACAAAAGCTGTCCCTCTGACCATAACAGATCTCATAGCTTTGAATATATACCAATCAAAAAGAATATCAAGCCTAAAGAGAAACATATATGAACATATCAAGTATAAATTCTCAATTAATAAAAACAAGTAATACACCATTCAGAAATTCCTGCACAAGTTCAACAGCAGATTTTGCTTCCAGAGGCTCGAGCCATTCAGTTACACCAGTCCTCAAACCATCAGCCAAAACCTACGGGAGATTTAAAAACCCCAAAAACTTGTTAGCAGAAAACACTCTTTTATCAATAAGGATGTATGTTATCACAATGTTAATTGCAGTAACATTTCTTGCGTGTTTATTACATGCCAGGTACTGCTGTGGTGCTTTATATACAGCACGTTACTTAATCCTCATGAAACTCTACAGTAGATATTATTATTCTCATCTCATTAAGGCTAAGAGAGGTTCAGTAACTTGCTCATGGTCATGCAATTAGTAACTGATGGTGCCAGGGTATATACCCAGTGGTCTGATCCCAAAGATGGTGCTCTGAACAATGATGCTATGTGCATAGGTGCCACAGAGGACTTAAGACTGAGGATACTGGGTTTGCCCTGGAGATGCTTGTAACTTTGGTAAAGACAGACAGATAAGACAAATGAAATGGTCTGGGGGTGCATACGTGTAAACAGTAAGTGAAAGTGTATCTTAAAATAATATAAATATGTATGCACATACATACAATATCTCAGTGGACTTAAGCAGTCAAGTAAGGCCACAAGAGCCAGTGGAACAATGTGGAACTTCAGTTGCAACTCAAATGTGGGAGCCATAGGCTGGCAGGAAAATTCATCTATTTTAAGTGTACAATTTAGTGGTTTTTAGTATGTTTACCAGGTTGTACAACCATCACCATAATTAATTTTACAACATTTTCATCACCTCAAAGTGAAACCCTGCACCTACCTATCAGCACTCACTTCTTACTCCCATCAGCCCCTGGCAACCACTAATCTACTTTCTGTAGTTCTTGTCTTCTTATTGCCAAATAGCATTCCATTCCCATTGTGTGTGGATCTGCCACATTTTGTTCATTCATCAGACATTTTAGTTGTTTCTACTTTTTGGCTATTATGAGTAATGCTTCCATGAACATTTACATACGAGTTTTTGTGTAGACATGTTTTTGCATCTCTTGGGTGGAGTTATATTTAACTTTTGAGGAACTGCCAAAGTATAACTGTTGTCCAGAGTTATTTTAACATTCTTGCCAGCAGTGTATGAGGGTTCTGATTTCTCTCCATCTTTGTCAACACTTGATATTGTTGAAAATGAAACTATCTTCTTCAGACTAGATCCTCTTTCAAAACCCCCCATTTCTGTCTGTGGTTCCACCATTCCTTCAATTTCCCAGGCTAGAAATCTCATATTTCACTTCAGTAAGACCTATTTCTTTTTTCTTTTTTTTATTTATTTATTTATTTATTTATTTATTTATTTATTTATTTTTTTGGGGGTGGAGTTTCGCTCTTGTTACCCAGGCTGGAGTGCAATGGCGCGATCTCGGCTCACCGCAACCTCCGCCTCCTGGGTTCAGGCAATTCTCCTGCCTCAGCCTCCTGAGTCGCTGGGATTACAGGCACGTGCCACCATGCCCAGCTAATTTTTTGTATTTTTAGTAGACACGGGGTTTCACCGTGTTGACCAGGATGGTCTCGATCTCTTGACCTCGTGATCCACCCGCCTCGGCCTCCCAAAGTGCTGGGATTACAGGCTTGAGCCACCGCGCCCGGCCCTCTTTTATTTATTTATTTATTTTTGGTGACAGAGTCTTGCTCTGTCACCCAGGCTGGAGTGCAGTGATGCAGTCTCAGCTCACTACAACCTCTGCCTACCAGGTTCAAGTGATTTTCCTACCTCAGGCTCCCCCGTAGCTGGGATTACAGGTGCCCACCACCATACCCAGCTAATTTGTTTATATTTTTAGCATAGATGGGGTTTCACCTTGTAGGCCAGGCTGGTCTTGAACTCCTGACCTCAAGTGATCCACCCACTTCAGCCTCCCAAAGTGCTGGGATTATAGGCATGAGCCACCACGCCCAGTCATCTTTACATTTTTCTAAAGACCATTCTGGGAGTGGGGGATGATAGCATTTCAGTTGAGAAATGTTTTATTTTCTCTTTCCTAGGAATCCATCCTTGGTCCTTGTGATAGAGGAATTCTTAACTAGATCATGTCATTTTCCTGCCCAGGAATTCAAAACCAACCTGGGCAACATAGGGAGAAACCCTGTCTCTACAAAAAAATATTTTTAAAAATGTAAAAACAAAAGAAAAAATGTAGGACAGCAGCTGGATTGTAATTGGCTTTGTATGACAGGTTAAGACATTCGGAATTTCTACTGCATTAAAATGAGGTACTCTCTTGAGATCATATTTGCAGACTAGAGCTAAACTTACTGAAGCACAAAATTCTTGAAACACATGTTCATTAATCTTTAGCATCAATCAAAATCTCAGCTATCAAACAAGCAGCTTATATATGCTTTGTTTGTTTGTTTTTGAGATGGAGTCTTGCTCTGTTGCCCAGGTTGGAGTGCAGTGGCACAATCTCTGCTCACTGCAAACTCCACCTCCCACGTTCAAGCAATTCTCTTGCCTTAGCCTCCTGAGTAGCTGGGATTACAGGCACCCACCACCACAACCAGCTAATTTTTCTATTTTTAGTAGAGACAGGGTTTTGCCATGTTGGTCAGGCTGGTATCAAACTCCTGACCTCAAATGATCTGCCCACCTAGGCAGTAATGCTGAAGTGTTGGGATTACAGGCATGAGCCAACACATCCAGTCTTACATATGCATTTGGAATAAATTGGCAGCTGATCATAATAAAATCAAACATTCCAGCAGAAAAGGGTGGGAGAACTATAGTTAGTAACCACCTAATGCTCCCGTTAATTCTAAGGACAACTACCACAGAAGTAAAATTAAACTGCCCAAACTGTCAGAGCATCTAATGGATACATAACATCTGAACAAACTCTAAAGAACTCAAACCTAAGTAAAAGCAGTAACAGCACATATTTTTATAAAAACATGAGATTTCAGGAAGGGAATTCTAGAAGGATACTCACAAGAAGAAATTTCAGTTCTCTGTAGAGATATTTCAAAGGACCTCTGGGCTCTCCCAATTCCACTTTAATATTCTGAAAGGTTTCCAAAGTCTGTCAGTTTTCCACGACTGTTCCCATCTTCTCTACATTAAGTGTTATACCTGCATTTCAAACTATCCTTCACACATTAAAAAATATATTTCATAAAGGATCAATGAATTGAAAAATTAGGTCAACACATCATTTAGCACATCTTACTGAGAGATACTACAGATTTTGCCATCTTGATCCAATAACCTAAATTAAAACCACTGTATCCTCTTGCTGTGCCACAAACAATTGTACTTATGTGGAACAACTGCCCTCCTCACATGCTCTCCTGCCTTTTCCCAAGGAATTTCCAGGAGGATAAGGCAGGAGAAATTTAAATAAATATATCTCAGGGTTCAGTGATAACTTAGATTATCACAAACCAAAATGAAGTCTCCCATTAAATCTCTTTATTAGACTCCTTCTAACTAAACCAATAGTGTGCTGTCCTAGCCTGAGGCCGACGTCTTAAAACCTAAGATTGCAAACATAAAAAAAGAAAAAGAGCGGCCGGACGCGGTGGCTCACGCCTGTAATCCCAGCACTTTGGGAGGCCAAGGCAGGCGGATCATCAGGTCAACAGATTGAAACCATCCTGGCCAACATAGTGAAACCCTGTCTGTACTAAAATATAAAAATTAGCTGGGCGTGGTAGTGCACATCTGTAGTCCCAGCTACTCGGGAGGCTGAGGCAGGAGAATTACTTGAACCCAGGAGGTGGAGGTTGCAGTGAGCTGAGATCGCACCACTATACTCCAGCCTGGCACCTGGCAACACAGCAAGACTGTCTCAAAAAAAAAAAAAAAGAAAAAGTAACATAAATGCCGATGTATGTCAATTCCTATTACAGGAAAAGTATAAAGAATATAATTATCCATGGCCAGGCACGGTGGCTCAAGCCTGTAATCCTAGCACTCTGGGAGGCCGAGGCAGGTGGATCACTTGAGGTCAGGAGTTCGGGACCAGCCTGGCCAACATGGTAATACCCTATCTCTACTAAAAATACAAAAATTAGCTGGGTGTGGTGGCATGCCCCTGTAATATCAGCTACTTAGGAGGCTGAGGCAGGAGAATCACTTGAACCCAGGAGGCGGAGGTTGCAGAGCCAAGATCATGCCACTGCACTCCCACCTGGGTCAGAGTGAGACTCTGTCTCAAAAGAAGAATATAATTATCCATCATCTTGCCACTCTGAGGGAACCACTATTAACACTATCCAGGCTTCTGTATATACATTTTTTTTAAATTATAGTTGAGATCCCATTGCATAATTTTATAATTTTTCTTTTTTCTTTTTGTTTGATAATAAGCATATCCTATTATTGATATTCAAGATTTTAAAACATGCTTTTAAAGACTGTATAATATTTCATCATGAAATCGATTTTAGGCCAGGTGTGGGGGCTCACGGCTATAATGCCGGCACTTTGGGAGGCCGAGGCGGGGCGGGGGGGTAACTTGAGGTCTGGAGTTGGAGACCAGCCTGGCCAACATGGTGAAACCCTGTCGCTACTAAAACTACAAAAAAAAAAAAATGCTGAGTACAGTGGCTCACACCTGTAATCCTAGCACTCTGGGAGGCTGAAGTGGGGCAGATCACCTGAGGTCGGGAGTTTCAGACCAGCCTGACCAACATGGAGAAACCCCATCTCTTAAAAAAAAAAAAATTAGCTGGGTGTGGTGGCAGAAGAATTGCTTGAACCCAGGAGGCAGAGGTGGCAGTGAGCCGAGATGATGCCACTGCACTCCAGCCTGGGAGACAGAGCAACCAAACTCCAACTTAAAAAAAAAAAAAAATCTGTTTTAAGTATCCCCTACTGAACATTCTGGTTTTGTTTACAGCATTTTGGAAACACAGCTGGATCACTGCACTATTCTTACCCACGAAGCTTTGTTAGCAATTTTGACTAATTTCTTAAGACAGATTCCTAGAAATATAGGCCAGGCGTGGTAGCTCACGCCTGTAATCCCAGCACTCTGGGAGGCCGAGGTGGGCAGATCACCTGAGGTCAGGAGTTCAAGACCAGCCTCGACAACATGGCAAAACTCCGTCTCTACTAAAAATACAAAAATTAGCCTGGCATGGTGGTGCACATCTGTAACCCCAGCTACTTGGGAGGCTGAGGCAGAACTGCTCCAACCCAGGAGGCAGAGGTTAGGTTGCAGTGAGCCAAAATTGTGCCACTGCACTCCAGCCTAGGTGACAGAGTAAGACTCCATCTCAAAATAAATAAATAAATAAATATACAGTGAAAGGGCTTAATATTATGATGATTCTTGATGTGTTACCACTATCTCCACCCTTTTAAGTGTAATAGGGCTAGGCGCAGTGGCTCATGCCTATAATCCCAGCGTGAGCCACTTTGGGAGGTGGAGGTGGGAGGGCCACTTGAGCTGGTTTGAAACCAGCTTGGGAAATTAGGTCTGGTGACATGTGCCTGCAGTCCCAGCTACTCAGGAGGCTGAGGTGGGAGGACTGCTTGAGCACAGGAGTTCGGGGCTGCAATGAGCAACGGTCATGCCACTGCACTCCAGCCTGGGTGACAGAGTGAAACTCAATCTCAAAAAACAAAAAAAAAAACAAAACAATCCCTCTTGAGCCACCACTCAAGACACTTTATCACCAGAAAATTCTTAAGTTGCATTACTATAGGGCTAAGGGCAACTGATAGATCAGATGACCAACAAAACCTTCTCTGGTTGCCCTGGTGACACGTTAGTGGCAAGGTGGCCCTTTTAGAGTTGTCCAGCCTCACAAAAGTGCCGAGGCTGGAAGCATGGCACACCAGCAACAAGCAAGTCAGTCAACACTTAGGAGCCTCATGAACCTGACAAGGAAACGGGGCCCACTCTTACCAGAGCTGCAGTTGAAGAGAGTGGAGGGATTTGAAGAATCTCATCCACAGGACTCCAGGAAATATCCAAAGTGATCGCAGTTTGTGATGCGGTGACTGCATCATCCAAGGCAGAGGACTTACAGAGCTCGTACTGGGCAAAGCCTTTGGATGACACCTGAAAAGATTGCACCCAGCAGACCATTTAGCTGTGCTTCCACATGGCCAAAGGTCCATTACCAGAACTATTTCGATCCTTGTCCCAAAAGAAGAAAAAGCACATATGCCATACTTTTGTCCCAAATGGAAAAATAAGACGGTTCTTTTAAACCACAAAGATTAGCTAACAGGTAAGAAGGTATTTTAATGTTGGTCATTAGCTGATATGAAAATAAACATAAACATTTTCATACTACAGAAAAATATCTAGTCATCTTAGGAATGCAAAAAAACCCTGTACACTAGGAAGGCAGGTTGGTAACAATTTGAAGAAAATAATATGAATAGAAGCAAAACACTTACAGTAGACAAGTGATGCCTTTTCTTGTGTAAATTTTTTAGGTTTTCAAGATTTACAGAATAATTTTTATCAGCTATAGGAAATGAAAGGAAAAAATGTAAAGGCACAACTCAAAATTACATTGTTAGAGCTAGAAAACTGCAATTCCTCAAATTCGGAGTGTACAGCAACTCAACAAAATAACTGTTAAATTCTAAATCACAGGTAAGTGAAATGTTTTTAAGAGAATGAAAGTGGGTTGGGCATGGTGACTCACGTGTATAATCCCAGTATTTTAGGAGGCTGAGGAGGGAGGATTGTTTGAACCCAGGAGTTCAAGACCAGCCTGGGCAACACAGCAAGACCCTGTCTCTACAAAAAAATTAAAAAAAAAAAAAAGCCAGGTGTGGTGGTGTGTGCCTGTAGTCCCAACTACTTGGGAGGCTGAGGTGAGAGAATTACCTGAGCCCAGAAGGTTGAGTCTGCAGTGAGCCATGATCGCGCCACTGTACTCCAGCCTGGGTGACAGAGTAAGATACTGTCTCAAAAAACTAAAAAAAAAAAAAAAAAATTTAAGTGGAACAGCCAGGTGCAGCAGTACTTGCCTGTAATCCCAGCTACTTAGGACGTTGAGGTAGACAGACGACTTCAGGCAAGGAGTTTGAGACTGGCCTGGGCAATATAGTGGGACCCTGTCTCTTAAAAACTAAAACTAAACATAAAATGAGCTGCGCATGGTTGTGCTCTCCTGTAGTCTCAGCTATTCAGGAGGATATGGTGGGAAGATCATTTGAGCCCAGGAGTTTGAGGCTGCGGTGACCTATGAATGCACTACTGTACTCCAACCTGTGCTATAGAGTGAGGCCATGTCTCTAGAAAAAATAAGTAAATAAAAAATAAAGTGGAATGAGGGTCAATACTACCACCAAAAAGACAATTAAATGTCTTGAGATTGGAAACATACTGTCATTGTATTCAGTTTTGTATCTTCCATTGAAAATTTTCAATAATATACACACAGAAATAAAATGAAACCCAAATCAAAGAGGTGTAAGCCTCCTGTCCAGACTTTTGGAGATGTGTTTCTGGAATACCTCCCATGTGCTGCAAGCTACACACTAGATTTATGGTGATTAATGCAAGTTCTGCTTTGTGCACTTTCATCATAACAAAATCAGTTTTCAGTAAAAAACATGAAACAGTAACTATACAAATGAATACACACATACACACACATGAGAGCGCACTCACCTTTACAACTGACCACATATAAGACAATTCCTGTAATGTTGTCGTTTGTTGTGATAAGCTCAGCTCCCAGCCAACAAGTACCTTCAGGATCTGAACTGTCACATCTTACCCAAAGGGGAGGAAGGGCAGTAACTGGCAGATTAATCTTCAAATGGGTCATATTAGGATTGTGAGCCATGGTGTAAAGTCCAATTAACTGTCTTTAAAACAAGGGTAAGAACAAATTATAGAGATTTCCATTCCTAGAATTTCTTTTTTTTTTTTTTTTTTGAGACGGAGTTTCGCTCTTGTTACCCAGGCTGGAGTGCAATGGCGCGATCTCGGCTCACCGCAACCTCCGCCTCCTGGGTTCAGGCAATTCTCCTGCCTCAGCCTCCTGAGTAGCTGGGATTACAGGCACACGCCACCATGCCCAGCTAATTTTTTGTAGTTTTAGTAGAGACGGAGTTTCACCTGGTTGACCAGGATGGTCTCGATCTCTTGACCTCGTGATCCACCCGCCTCGGCCTCCCAAAGTGCTGGGATTACAAGCGTGAGCCACCGCGCCCGGCCCCATTCCTAGAATTTCTTTGTCTTAGAGACAGGGTCTCACTCTGTTGCCCAGGCTGGAACACAGCGGTGTGATCACAGCTCACTGCAGCCTCGGCCTCCTGGGCTCAAGTGATCCTCCTATCTCAGCCTCCCAAGTAGCTGGGAATACAGACACAAGCCACTGCCTCAGGCTTATTTGTATTTTTGTAGAGACAGAGTCTTGCTATGTTGCCCAGGCTGGTCTCAAGCTCCTTGCCTCAAGCAATTCTTCTGCCTTAGCCTCCCACAGGGGAGGGATTATAGGTGCAAGCTACCAGACCTAAAGAGAATTTTCTTTTAAAAAGATATGAGGGGGTCTCACAGAAATAACAACCTAAAAATTAAGTAGCAAGATGTATATTTGTATATTTCGTCTATTAATAGGTTTGCCAGGCAGATCAAAATGCATGCACCAGAAAGTGACAGAGTAAGACAGGACTGGAGCTACTATGAGCAGGGAGCTTCAATCTGGCGAGGGTTGGGGGTTCAGCAGGAGTGGAAGTTCAGTTGAAGTGGAAGAGGCAGGATGTGAGATTCATCTAAAAGTAGTAGGAGTCAATAAACACGAAATGATGCTCAGTCATTAGTCAGTGAGACAGTTAACAAGATTTGAATATGGGCTCTGATTAGATAACGGTAATATAATGATATTAAATTTCCAGATTCTGATCATTGTTCCATGGCTATGGAAGAGAATGTGTTTGTTCACAGAAAATACACAGTGGAGTATTTAGGTGTAGAAGAATACAGTATCTTCACTACATTGTCAATACCTCATTTTTAAAATGGTATGTGTGTGTGTCTTACCACATGTATATAAACACACAGTATATATAGTTATAAACAATGTTGTTATGATAGTTATAACAATATACATATAAAATTATGTGTGAATACACATATAGCAATATACTGCTTTGCATGTTATCTATCTAGAAAGAGACACAAGAGACAGAAAAAGGAAAAGGGGAAGAAAAAGAAGCAAATGCTGCAAAATCTAAGCAATTGGTGACTTTGGGTTAAGGATATACATAAGTTCATGCACTATTCTTGTAACTTTTCTCTAAGTTTGAAAGTATATCAAAATTGAAAGTCACCAAAATACATGGCTTAAATTTTTATTTTTCAAAGACATGAAAACTAAATTTATTACCAACAGATGTCCAAGAGGACTTTACTTGCAAAAAGAGGTAAAATAATCCCAGAAGGAAGGTATGAAAATGCAAGAAGAAATGGAGAGCAAAGAAATAAGCGCATGAATCAACCCACATAAACACTGGCAGGAGAAAATGATACAAATAAATGAACATTTAAGTCGTAGAGAAAAAACAGGCTAAATATGACTAAAATCAAGGACCTGTGAAGGAAGAGACTGATTAAACCTTTAAAATTTCTAGGCCAGGCATGGTAGCTCACACCTGTAATCCCAGCACTTTGAAAGGCTGAGGCGGGCGGATCACCTGAGGTCACGAGTTCAAGATTAGCCTGGCTAACATGGTGAAACCCCATTTCTACTAAAAATACAAAAAATTAGCCAGGCGTGCCTGTAATCCCAGATACTCAGGAGGCTGAGGCAGGAGAATCACTTGAACCTGGGAGGCGGAGGTTGCAGTGAGCCGAGATCGTGCCATTACACTCCAGCTTGGGCAACAAGAGTGAAACTCCATCTCAAAAAAAAAAAATTCTATAGAGGAAAATAAAAACCAGCACATAGAAATAACTTTGTGAACATTATTACAGTAGTTATTAATCTCACATCATTCTGTTAGTATGTATATGACTACATCCGCCAGAACACCTTGAAGACAAGGACATTTTGGTTTTGGAGGCAGGAGGAGGCTGGACAGAGGGAGCTGTACATAGCTACACAGTGGGGAAGTAGGAAGGGAAGCTGGAGAGGTAGCCAGGGGACTTCAAGTTTGTTTCATGGTTAGGTAAGAGAATGGCACCTTGGATGAGATAACTGCTCATTGTACAGGAGAGTCCCACGCATCGCAGGATGTCTACCACCCACGGCCCAGGTTCACTAAATGCCAGTAGCTCCTCTCAGTCACTGTATTTCCAATTCCCCCTGCGTGTGGTACCACTCCTGGTGGAGGACCAGTGGGGCTAGACAATGAAGGTTCCTACGTCATTCTTAAGGAATTGGGATTTTATCATGAAGCCAATGAAGAACCACTCAAGGATTTTAAGTAGGAAAGAAGCTTGGTCAGGTTTTCATTTGAAAAAGAAAGACTGGAGGGGAACCAGATTACATACAAGGAAAACAACTGAGAAACAACAACAATAAATTGGTATGGGAGTAGAGAAAAGGAACATAACTGCAGTATTCTTGGGCATGTCTAGGATACCGATCAGATACTCAAGGAGAACTATCCCTAGTTGGGTATACTTATCAGGGGGTGGGGGAGATGAAGGAGGATATCTGGGCTAGAAGCCTATTTTTTCCAATGTTTATAAGAACATTTCCATTTAAATCCTACTTGCCACTCCTACCCCTATGCTAAGAGAAAACTTACCTTGCCTTCCCAACTGGTAAAGCAAGTGGTCCAACATTTTCGCCAGTAGAGAAATCGGATATGGCAGTCTCTTCAGACTGAAGTTCTTCAATATGACTTGTTTCTTCCTTTTCTGACGGCTTTAAAAATGCTCTTAATTACTTAACCAGACAAAAGAGCACCTAAGATAGCACCTGACTCTTTGCTATGCCACAGAATAAGGACAAGCAGACATAATGTACTTGTTTCTATACCCGTAAGCACAAAAGATTGGGTTTGGGCAAGAATAGCCACAAACTAGCTTGGTACCAAAAAATCTTGCCATCAGGAGCATTTCCACTGTCTTATAAAAAGATATTGTCCTTAGTTGCTAATGGCAAAGGAAGCAACTGATGCCTTTAGAAAAGGAAGTGCTCAATGGTGTCACATGCCTGTAATCCCAGCATTTTGGGAGGCTGAGGAAGACGATCACTTAAGCTCAAGAGGTCAAGATAAACCTGAGCAACGCAGGGAGACCTATGTCTACCAAAACAAAAACAAAAAAAAATCAGCCAGGTGTCCCAGTTAAGCAGGAGGCTGAGGTAGAAGGATCGCTTGAGCTTGGGAGGTGGAGGCTGCAGTGAGCCATGACAGTACCACTGCACTGCAGCCTGGGAGACACAGCAAGACCATCTCAAAAACAAAGTAGAAAAGGAAGGGCTCCAACATGCACAAAATGATTAGCTAAAGGTAAAATACCAAGGAAACCCAGATTTTGTTGGATTTTTCACTCTCAGAACGGGAAGACCTTCTTTCTGGGCTACAACCTTAGGCCCACAGCCCTTACTTTTTGTTTCTATTCCTTTTAGGGCAATCAGCTATTGGTGTTAGTGGGTACCGTTATCCATGTGTTTACAAAACAGTTAAATAGCTCAGCCATGCCAATAATAAGAACAAGGGGGCCGGGCGCGGTGGCTCAAGCCTGTAATCCCAGCACTTTGGGAGGCCGAGGCGGGTGGATCACGAGGTCAAGAGATCTAGACCATCCTGGTCAACACGGTGAAACCCCGTCTCTACTAAAAATACAAAAAATTAGCTGGGCATGGTGGCACATGCCTGTAATCCCAGCTACTCAGGAGGCTGAGGCAGGAGAATTGCCTGAACCCAGGAGGCGGAGGTTGCGGTGAGCTGAGGCCACGCCATTGCACTCCAGCCTGGGTAACATGAGTGAAAATCCGTCCCAAAAAAAAAAAAAAAAAAAAAAAAAAAAAAAAAAAAAGAACAAGGGAGGTTTTACCCCTAGACAAAACTGCTATGTATCCTGATTGCAGTGGTGACTGCAAGAATATATATGTTAAAATTCACAGAACTGAACAACAAAAGAAATGTCAGTGTTATCAACTTACTGATAATTTTACCTGTTTCTTTCTCTTAACGAGGCTACTAGAAAATTTTAAATTGTAAATGTGGTTATTTATTTCTACTAGACAGGACTATACTTACTCCTAAAAGGAGAACCGATTTTCACTGATGCTGATTTTAAAACATGTACATGTTAGATTATTCCCAAGAAACCAAATTTGGTTATAGAGAATTAACCACAAAGCCAAACCACTACTTACCGCTTTTTCCACTATGAATACTATGTCATTTTCATTTAGAATATTTTTCAAAGGGTTTGGTTGGCCTTTGCTGATCAACTGCACTTGGACATCAGCCTGTTAAAACAGGTAACAAGCAATGTTATATATACACTTATATATTTGTACTATCTAAATACATAAAGACCAGTTCTATACAAGTGAATGGACATTTTCCTTAAGAGATCTCTGCTAACTGCAACCTCTGACTCCCAGGTTCAAGCAATTCTCCTGCCTCAGCCTCCTGAGTAGCTGGGACTGTAGAAGCGAGCTACCACACCTGTGTTTTGTTTTTTTTTTTTTTTTTTTTTTTTTTTTTTTTTTAGACGGAGTGTTGCTCTGTCGCGCAGGCTGGAGTGTGATGGCATAATCTTGGCTCCTGCAACCTCCACCTCCCAGGCTCAAGTGATTCTCTTGCCTCAGCCTCCCGAGTAGCTGGGACTACAGACACACGCCACCATGCCTGGCTAATTTTCCTGTTTTTTAGTAGAGCCGGGGTTTCACCACATTGGCCAGGCTGGTCTCAAACTCCTGACCTCAGGTGATCTACTTGCCTTAGCCTCCTAAAGTGCTGGGATCACAGGCGTGAACCATCACACCTGGCCATCTTTCTCATTGCTTTTGAGGATACACACACACACACACACACACACACACACACACACACACACACAAAGATAAATATACATATTACAGCTTCCCAAGTATTTCCCCCCAGCTTGTCTGTTAATGCACACTTTATTTTAGTTTGCTAATCATATCATGCATGTAGGTTTTCTCTCCCCTGTGGAGAGTTTACTTATAAAACACTTAGCACACATGAGATGCTAAATGAGTATATAAAGGTTTATAGCAGCTTTCGTAATGACCAAAAACTAGAAACAACCCAAATGTCCTTCACCTGGTGAATGGATAACCCAACGATGATACATCCATACAATGGAATACTACTCAGAAATAAAATATGAACGGCTAATACACACAACAACATAGACGCACCTTAAATGCATTATACTAATTGAAAGAAGCCAGAATCAAAAGGCTGTGTGATTTTATTTATATGACATTCTGGAAAAAGTAAAACTACAGAGACAAAAAATAGACTAACGTTTGCCAGGAACTAGGGGAGGGAAAAGGGCTGACTGTAAAGTGACACGAGAAAATTTTTGGAGATAATAGAAATGTTCTAAATCTTGATTATGGGGTGGTGACTAAATAATTTATCAGAAGTCATAGAACAGGCTGGGTGCCACCAGGTGGCTCACATCTGTAATCCCAGCACTTTGGGTGCTGGGATTACAGGCGTGAACCATCGCACCCGGAAGGGTTGAGGTGGGTGGATCACTTGAGGTCAGGAGTTCAAGACCAACCTGGCCAACATGGTGAAACCCTGTCTCTACTAAAAATACAAAATTAGCTGGGTGTGGTGGCACACACCTGTAGTCCCAGCTACTCAGGAGGCTGAGACAGGAGAATTGCTTGAACCCTGGAGGCAGAGGTTGCAGTGAGCTGAGATTGCGCTACTGCACTCCAGCCTGGGTGACACAACAAGACTCTGTCTCAAAAAAAAAAAAAGTCACGGAACAGTACCCTAAAAGGATAAGATTTACTGTATGTAAATTAACTTCAATAAACCTGACTTTTAAAAACAGACAATTGGCCAGGCACGGTGGCTCACACCTGTAATCCCAGCACTTTGGGAGGCCGAGGAAGGTGGATCACCTGAGGTCAAGAGTTCAAGACCAGCCTGACCAATGTGGTTAAACCCTGTCTCTACTGAAAATACAAAAATTAGCCAGTTGTGGTGGTACATGCCTATAGTCCCAGTTACTGAAGAGGCTGAGACAGGAGAATTGCTTGAACCTGGGAAGTGGAAGTTGCAGTGAGCCAAGATCACACCACTGCACTGCAGCCTGGGCAACAGAGCAAGACTCCGCTTTAAAATAAAATAAAATTAAATTGAAACAGACAATTTTAAAATTAGGGTTGTATTTGAAAACCAAAGTGTTCATACCTCATAGAGAAACGGGTCTCTCCGGATTCCTTTCTTTTCTTCATTATATTCCCTGAAATGCAGAACCACATGTGAAAAACAGAACTACATTATCTCTCCTGCTATTCACACTCAAGAGTCAGCTATCACTTTATCTCAACAGGATACCTACGGCAAAGGCAAAAAGCACATACTTACAGGAGCCCGAAATGTAGCTGGGAAGACAGAAAAAAAGCAGAAAAGAAGCATTAAGAAGAAAAGAGAAAAAAGACAATTGTGACAGAGATTAATAGACTCTTGCACTCAATTGGGTACAACTCAATTCTCAGAGGCAGCAGGAAATTGGGTTGCCTACCTCTACCCTGTGTCTAAATATTACCAGTTAAAATTAAAATGTAACTTGCCACATGACCTTTCAAAAGTAACAATGGTTGGATTCTCATCTGTTACTGACTCAGAGAGTAGCCACAGAGAAGTTACTTACGGGGCCCAGGCCTTAGATTTCTATGACTAAGATGGAAGCATCTGTCCTCCAATTTTATAAGTTGTTATTCAAAGTTAGTAAATTTGATTATGTTGAACATTTCCTTTTAAAATGTCAGGATGAAACTCTAGGATATCATTTAATCATTATCTTTTACTTCAAGAAAGTTTTAAAATAGTGAATCTAAAGCTCTTAAACTGTAACCCATTAACATACCAAAATACACACCAGCCTGATCTACCCTGAAAGAGAAAAGAATCTTTAGTCATTGAAGGAACCCAACAGAACTGTTTCAAGATACCATTTATATCTATTCGATCTAATACTAAACGACTTCCTGAAAAAGAAATAGGAGAGCTAGGCCTATGGCCAATTCATTTTGCCATATTGTGAAAGATTGTGATTTAGTCTTACGGATGTTTGTGTCTCATGTATAACTCAGGAATGTTATTTAATCAGCCTTGCAATCATGTCTCAAGCATGTGTAACAGAGGCCAGCCACTCCTGCGAGATACTGAGAATATCAAAAGTGTAGTCCCTGGTTCATAGTCCTGACTGGATTCCAACAAGTAAACCACAGTTCCAAGTGATAAGTGCTCAGAGGCAAATACGGGAAGCTATAATAGAAATTTAACTATAGGGCTTAAACTTTATCCTGAAAGCCAAAAGGAACTCACTAAAAGATTTTAAATGGGAAAAAAATCTGACAGTAATATGGAGAGTAATAACTCGGAGTCCAGGAAAATAGCTGTGAATAACTGGTAGCACTTCAGAGAACTGATAATGGTCTGAATGAATACAGCATGGAGAATAGAGGATTGATAAGGCAGGGGTGAGGGTTTGGAATTAGAACTCTTAACTCAGAGAGAGAATTCAGAAGTAGAATGTCCAGTTGGAGGAAAAATTTAATTCAGCTTTGCAGATATTGATCGCAGGTCCCATGTGAAAATTCCCCCCAGCAAGGGGGAAAACAGTGTTATACTTGCTATGTGAAGTACAAAAGGTCTAATTAGGCCAGGTGCAGTGGCTCACGCCTATAATCCCAGCACTTTGGGAGGCTGAGGTGGGTGGATCACAAGGTCAAGGGATTGAGACCATCCTAGCCAACATAGCGAAATCCTGTCTCTACTAAAAATACAAAAATTAGCTAGGCATGGTGGCACGCACCTGTTCTAGCTACTTGGGAGGCTGAAGCAGGAGAATTGCTTAAACCCAGGAGGCAGAGGTTGCAGTGAGCTGAGATCACACCACTGCACTCCAGACTGCTGGCAGGGCAAGACTCTGTCTCCAAAAAAAAAAAAAAAGAAAAGAAAATAAAGAAAAAGAAAAGGAAATAAAGGGTCTAAATAAAGTTGTCTCAATAAGGGACTTATTTATTAATTTATTTTTAGAAACGAGCTGTCACTATGCTGCCAAGGCTGGCCTCCAACTCCCAGGCTCAAGCAATCTCCCTGCCTCAGCCTCCAGAGTAGCTGGGATTACAGGTATGCGCCACCATGCCTGGCTAATAGGAGGCTTTTATGTTCTTGGTTTTTTGTTTTTTTCTGAGACAGAGTCTTGCTCTGTTGCCCAGGCTGGAGTGCAATGGCACGATCTTGGCTCACTGCAACCTCTGGCTCCTGGGTTCAGGCAATTCTCCCAAGTAGCTGGGATTACTGGTGCCCACCACCACGCCCAGCTAATTTTTATATTTTTAGTAGAGACCGGGTCTTGCCATGTTGGCCAGGCTGGTCTAGAACTCCTGACCTCAAGTGATCCGCCCGCCCTGGCCTCCCAAAGTGCTGGGATTACAGCGTGAACCACCGCCCCCAGCCTTATCTTAAATAAATATAAAACAGCCATAGAATGAAATACTATATAGCAGTTAAAAAATGAGATAGACCTATAGGGTGTCACAATGAAGGAAGTCCAAGACATGCTAGTTTTTTGTTTTTTTTTTTAAGTGAGTGCTCTTTCTATTCAAAACATTTACAAGCATTACTACTTTTGTAAGCAGGAAAAAAAAAGCAATGAAGATAAACAATGAAACATTGTAACATTTAGGAAATCATCGACTAGATTACACAGTGGTTCTCAAAGTGTGATGCCCAGCCATATCCGTTTCACCTATTTGTTAGGAGGATAGATTCTTTAGCTCCACCCCAGACCTGCTAATTCAGAAACCCTGGAGGTGGAGGCCAGCAATCTGTGCTTTGACAATCCTCAGGTGATTCTGATGCATGGTCAAATTTGAGAATTATGGATGAGATTTTTACATAGGATGTATTCTCCTTGGTAGTAGTACTTCACTGTAAGAACAAGACGAAGTCTTGGAGCACAGTGAAAATAAAGGTGGTTTTAAAACGCAACACACCAATCTGCTATCATTACAATTGTAGCTCATGTGGCAGCTACCTCGAGTGATAGAGATTAACAGACCAACACATTTCACTTTTCGGAGTCGAAAAAGCTTTAAACAGGCGAAGGACGCCAACACCTAGTATTCCGCATCCTGGGAGACGCCTCTGCTTACGGCAAGTGTCTGCATCAGCAGAAGGCATAAACCGCCTCTTGGAACACCTGCCACCTGCCACCTCGTGTGATGACTTCACGGGGTCAATCCCACCCAGGAGCTGAGAGCCAGCCTCTTCCCAACTTCTGGACCCCAGGAAAGCTGGCAAGGCGCTAAGCCCCAAAGAGCGGCAAGAAGCTTAAGGCGGGGATTCAATACTCAGGGAAAGAAGTGCTGTCCCAGGACCCCAGCCAAAAGAAGAGACTAGACTCACTGAAGGAGGAGAGAATAAAACTCCTCAGCCGCGCCGTTCAGCCGCTCCCACATCCTGCCCCAAAATGAGAGCAGGACCGGAACTGCCAAATCGAAATGCGCGCGGAGCCGCCGACGTCAGGGGTCATGACCCCGCCCCGCCGGGACTACATTCACCCCTCCCCCGCCCCCCGCCACATAAATTCTGTTTGTCCACAAAATTAAACTTTGGTTTCAGGCCACTCAGAGCTATTTACTGTGTTAATAGTCTTCAGTTTTCAGCAATAATTAAAATAAGTGTATGGTTCGGGAGAAGACGCCTCGACTCGCCAGTTGACCACGCCCCCTATGGATTATTCCGCGGAAAGGAGTCCCTATTTTCTACTAACCATGATTAGCTTTGGAAGAAAATAGATATCGCAATTTCCCACAAATAAAGAAATAACATGCTAGTTTTTATTTTTGTAGTGTGGTAGAGAAATATTTTGTGTATCCATGTTGGTTCTAAAGCGGGGCAGGGTGGGGCGGTCATGAGGAAGGTTACATATACACAGGGAGTAATGAGAACTTCCTTTTCCTGTGGCAGCTGCCGGGCCGAGAGGAGCGTGGCTGTCTCCTCTCTCCGCCATGGTGAGTGGAAATCTTCTTGGCTGTCCTCACCCCGGATCTTGGGGCCAGTAAGGAAGGATTCGGGGTTCGAAGCATAGAGTCTCTAGGAGATAGAGCGAGGAGAAGGAGATGGAGACCAAAGGCGTCTATTTCTGGTGTGGAACTGGGGCGTGCGGCCTTACGGCAGCCATCTTAAACGCAACGTGGGCTTCCCAGCACAGGACGCGCCTGGAGGCAGTATTGGAAGGCACTGGGTCGTTCTCAGTAGCAGTGGGGCTTAGTCTTAGAAAAGTTGGTTATTTAGCCTTTTTTTCTTGATGCTCGTCTCTGCCTAGCTTAGGAATCATCTCTATTAAAAAGCCTTCTGGTTCGCTTCGCTTAAAAATCGTTCGGTGTCATCTAAATCTTCGAATCCTTATCCAACTCTTAATATGACCAGTGTTACATGTGTACTGCTTTTGCACAAATAGTCCGTATATATGTAGTGTTGTGTGCCGTAGGGCAAACACTATTCTGACGGGGATCGTAGCTCAGTTGGACTAACATAGAGTACTCTTCAGTGGCAGTAAGAGACATAGACAGAGGGAATTGGAGTGGTTTGGCTTTAAACAGAGTGATCAGAGAAAGCTTAAAGTGGCCTGAAGGATGTGAGGAAATTGTACAAAGAGGAGCTTTAGAGTGAACACCTGGAAATTTTTTTTTTTTTAAACATTCAGTAAGATGTTTCCTAGCTATAGCGTTAGAACGGGCGAACACCTGGAAATTCTGAGGCAAGAGTGGGGTGGTCCTGAGACCGAAGATAACATCTGGAAGAGAGTATGGGAGATGCGATTAGAGGTAGAGAAGATTGTGTAGGTCTGCCTCAGGATTTTGATTTTACTCACAGGTGGGAAGTCTTTGGGAGAGGTTTCAACAAAAAGTGGTATCACCAGTGTTTTACTGGTGAGCTTTGGAACATGTGTTCAGAAGAGGGTCAAGGTGAGTGGGACAGGGATGGAAGTTGGGATGAGCTGAAGCCCGGATGGATGGGATTTGCTGATTAATTGGCATTAAACAGGATCTTAAAACCTTGCAATACGGTTTTGATTTAGCCATTGTGCTTTATAAGGCTTGTCTTTGAAAATAAAATTGTGCAGTAGAACTTGAGATTCTGATGGTTCTTTGTGTATAAGATAATTTACTGAAGTTAATAAAACTGTTATCGGTATGTTAGTCATTTATGGCTACTTTGGTTTGAGCTTGTTTGCCCACCATTCCAATCTCTTTTGCAATTGAGTATTTCATGGCAGTGTTGGCATATGAGAAGAGTTTCTAACATTACTTGTCAATGAAAATAATTCCTTCCTTTTTCTTTAGGCGTGTGCTCGCCCGCTGATATCGGTGTACTCCGAAAAGGGGGAGTCATCTGGCAAAAATGTCACTTTGCCTGCTGTATTCAAGGCTCCTATTCGACCAGATATTGTGAACTTTGTTCACACCAACTTGCGCAAAAACAACAGACAGCCTTATGCTGTCAGTGAATTAGCAGGTATGGATTTGTACCTTCTGCAGATATTTTAGGGACTGCTTTACAGTAGTGATGAAATTCCACTTCATTGGTCCGTGTTTCTGAACCAGATGATTTTCTTGGATGTTCTGATGCTGTTTGCTACCTTGTATAATAGTCATAGGTTGGTATGTATGATGAAGCAGCTAAAATTTTTCTCTCTCCCCAATTTCAGGTCATCAGACTAGTGCGGAGTCTTGGGGCACTGGCAGAGCTGTGGCTCGAATTCCCAGAGTTCGTGGTGGTGGGACCCACCGCTCTGGCCAGGGTGCTTTTGGAAACGTATCCTTTATTTCACCACCTGAGACTGGTAGGCTCTGATGGAATTTAGCAGACTGGGTCTAATGTAAAAACAGTACATTTCTTAAAGAGAAGGGGCTTCATTTATATGTGGTTATTTTGCTTGCCATGATGTCGTAATTTGCGTCTTACTCTGTTCTCGGCGACAGTTGCCTGCTGTCAGTAAGCTGGTACAGAAGGTTGACGAAAATTCTTACTGAGCAAGAAATAACCTTTTTTAATTACTAAAGTTTGAGAAATGTGGTTCTTGACTGGAAAAATAGATGTGTCGTGGAGGCCGAATGTTTGCACCAACCAAAACCTGGCGCCGTTGGCATCGTAGAGTGAACACAACCCAAAAACGATATGCCATCTGTTCTGCCCTGGCTGCCTCAGCCTTACCAGCGCTGGTCATGTCTAAAGGTTTGTAATGCTTTGTATCATAAGAGAGGTTGAAGAAATAAGGCACCTAGTGTTTGATCGTTAGTGTGATTTTTTTTTTTTTAATTCATAGTAACCTATTTTGAGATGGCTAAAAGAGAATAATTTGAAAGTTTTTAATGTGAAATCTTTTAGCTAATGGATATCCCAGTTACACTGATTTGATCTTGACACATGAGTGCATTCAGTTATCAAATGTTCTCCAGAAATACACCTATTACATATAAGTTTTAAAAGATTTAATCAAAAATATTTTGTATCAGAGTAGTGCAGAATGCTCCACTTTTCTGTCACATGAACCTTTGTTAGAATTGCCTGTGTAAATTCTTTTCATTCTAAAGTGTCTGATTAAATTTTAATCCTTTACAAAATAATACATCTGACTACTTAAATCTGACAATTCATCAACGAACACTAGTGTAACTGGGAACTCTTCAAGTAGTGGTTTGGTATATTAGAAAACTTCCTCCTTAAATGCCCATTGTGTTTCCCACCACATTTTTATTTAACTGTCAAAATGATGAGATTCCACTTAATTGGTCCGTGTTTCTGAAACACATGATATTTGTGGAAATTCTGACTTGGCAAATTGAATACCATTGTGCTTTTATAAGTTATATAAAATGTTTCTTGATTTTTATTTATTTTTTTTCTGAAAGTTTTAGGATAACCTAGTAAGCATCAAATTGGTTTTTGTTAGGTCATCGTATTGAGGAAGTTCCTGAACTTCCTTTGGTAGTCGAAGATAAAGTTGAAGGGTACAAGAAGACCAAGGAGGCTGTTTTGCTTCTTAAGAAACTTAAAGCCTGGAATGATATCAAAAAGGTCTGTTTAATGAGCACATTTACTGTATACTACTCCTTGTTCAGTTTGTTACTTTGAATTACAGAAGATAAGTGAAGGGCAGTATAGGTAAGCCTTAATGTTTGAGAGAGCAAGCACCTCAGAGCCCGATTACTTGTGTTTGAATCCTAACTGCCATTCATGACTCTGTGTGACCTTGGCAAGTTATTGTGCCCTAATTTAATCATCTGTAAAATGGAATTTTATTAGAACTGAAGGCTTATTGCAGAAGTTGTATATTAATCAAAATACTACAACTGGTCACTTTGTAGGTCTATGCCTCTCAGCGAATGAGAGCTGGCAAGGGCAAAATGAGAAACCGTCGCCGTATCCAGCGCAGAGGCCCCTGCATCATCTACAATGAGGATAATGGTATCATCAAGGCCTTCAGAAACATCCCTGGTAATTAAACTGCTTACATGTATTGATTAGCTATACTATGCAAGTCTACTCAGCTTTTGTTATGATGAGATTCCACTTTATGGTCCGTGTTTCTGAAACATGATTTTATGGAAGTTCTGATTTGTGGCTGAAAGATTTGCAGCATTGGTTGAAACTTCATAATGAATGACTCACCAGGCACCTTTTGTAGTCCTAAGCCATACAAATGATTTGTGTTTCTTCTGTTAAAATACAGCCTCCCTAATTTTTCTTTACCTTTAAAAGGAATTACTCTGCTTAATGTAAGCAAACTGAACATTTTGAAGCTTGCTCCTGGTGGGCATGTGGGACGTTTCTGCATTTGGACCGAAAGTGCTTTCCGGAAGTTAGATGAATTGTATGGCACTTGGCGTAAAGCTGCTTCCCTCAAGAGTAACTACAAGTAAGTATCTTTCATATTACTAAATACATGTTTATATTGTGGATATTAACATTCAAAATTGGCTTACATGTTTTCTAAATGATGAATTTTGTTTCCATTTCCCCTTACATGTAGACACAGTCTGCTAAAAGAGGGCTCGTCTGGTCCATGTTTTTTGTTTTTGAAATAGAGTCTCACTCGGTCTTGCCCAGGCTGGAGTACAGTGGTGTGATTTTTGCTTACTGCAGCCATTGATTCTCCTGCCTCAGCCTCTGGAGAAGCTGGGATTATATAGGCATGTGCCACCATGTCCAGCTAATTTTTGTGTTTTTAGTAGAGATGGAGGTTTGGCCACGCTTGCCAGGCTGGTCTTGAACTCTTGACCTCAGGCGATCACCTGTGTCAGCATCAAAGTGCTGGGATTACAGCGTGAGCCATGGTACCCAGCCTGGTCCATGTTTATGAGAAGCGATAGTGTCTTAGATATTTTGGAGAGCACAAGTGGTTAAAAATAAAGCTGCAGTTGAGCTTCATGTTCTTCGGTCAATTACTTTTACACATACGTGTCGATCTTCTCTCTCAGTCTCCCCATGCACAAGATGATCAATACGGATCTCAGCAGAATCTTGAAAAGCCCAGAGATCCAAAGAGCCCTTCGAGCACCACGGTAAAGTGATTAATTAGAGTGTGATTCTTGCCCCAACCCTATGCAAGTGGTTATTTCAAAAATTTGTGTGTGTATAATGTAATTGATATAATGTGTTGATACAGTATCTGCCTTTTTATAGCAAGAAGATTCATCGCAGAGTCCTAAAGAAGAACCCACTGAAAAACCTGAGAATCATGTTGAAGCTAAACCCATATGCAAAGACCATGCGCCGGAATACCATTCTTCGCCAGGCCAGGAATGTGAGTGATTTTTTTTTTTAACTGATACATGAAGTTCTTAGAAAGATTTGGTTCTCACTGTTTTCGACCTAATATGTTGCAGCACAAGCTCCGGGTGGATAAGGCAGCTGCGGCAGCAGCAGCACTAGAAGCCAAATCAGATGAGAAGGGAGTTGCAGGCAAGAAGCCTGTTGTAGTAGGTAAGAAAGGAAAGAAGGCTGCTGTTGGTGTTAAGAAGCAGAAGAAGCCTCCAGTAGGAAAAAAGGCAGCAGCTACCAAGAAACCAGCCCTGGAAAAGAAGCCAGCAGAAAAGAAACCCACTACAGAGGAAAAGAAGCCTGCTGCATAAACTCTTGAATTTGATTATTCCATAAAGGTCAAATTATTTTGGACAGCTTCTTTTGAATAAAGACCTGATCAAACAGGCAGAGAAACACAGCTTGTTGGTGTGTTCTGTAAAGCTTGGTTAGAATTTTTTAAAGACATTTTATTGGCAATAATTTAGATTGTTCCATTTTATATAGTCTTATAAAATGGGGCATGGATTTATACTAAGTCCATGGAGTTGAATGGAAGGGGAATGATCAAAAACTCTTAATTTTCTAAATGTGGCTCGAAAAATAGGTTTAACAGGACTTGGTCAGAAATGCACAGAGGCTGTTTAGCTCCCACCAAGTGGAAAATAGGTAAATTCTGTAAACATTTAACACTTTCACCACAAGAGGGCACAATTGGAGAACACAGTTTTTTTGGTAGTGGAGTGAAATTGATCACCTCTTAAAAGTGTCTTTTTAAACCAGTTATGACAATAGAATTGCTTGAATATTATTTTTACCTGTGGTTTGAAAAAGTGCCAGAAGGTCACACTGGCTCATGCCTGTAATCTCAGCACTTTGGGACCCTGAGGCAGGCGGATCACTTGAGGCCATGAGTTCAAAAGCAGCCTGGACAAATGATCAATTCTCATTTTCTAAAAATATAAAACACACCTGTAATCTCAGCTATTTGGGAGGTTGAGGCAGGAGAATCACAACCTGGGAGGTGGAGGTTGCAGTGAGCTAAGATTGCGGCATTGCATTCTAGCTTTGGCAACAAAGACCGTCTCAAAAGTACCAGAAGCATTTTTCAGGACTGCTTATGTGTCTTGGTGAATATGTTAACTGTCCAAAAGAAATACCCATGAAGCACGGTGGCTCACACCTGTAAGCCCAATGCTTTGGGAGGCTGAGCCGGGTGGATCACGACGTCAGGAATTGACCAGCCTGCCCAACATGCTGAAACCCTGTCTCTACTAAAAATAACAAAAAAATCGTCAGGCATGGTGGTGCACACCTGTGATCCCAGCTACTCTGGTGGCTGAGGCAGGAGGCACAGGTGGTGGCGGCCGCAGATCACACCGTTGCACTTCAGCATGGCCGATAGAGCAAAAAAATTGTCAAATAACTATGAAATGCCTCCTCAGATACAAGGGGCTCTTTTTACTCATAAAGCTAAACTGCAGTTATTACCCTAGAATTAAGCTTTTTGTCCTGTGTCAAAACCTTGTTTTGCGTCTGGATTGTTAAGTAGCCTCCCTCTGCCAGTCTCAAAGTTCACAGTCAAGGTGATCTGTAACCCTCCCCATTTCCATGGCCAAATCCCAGTTCTTAAGCACATAAAGGTGCCATTTCTCATCGCAATTTCTTACCACGGCTTTATTTTCCTGCTTTTCAGTTCTCTATTTGGTGAAGCCTTACCCTTTAAAGTCCCCTGGGAATCCTACCCTGCGGGGCCTCTTTTAGCACAGTAGGGTTCATGTGCCTGCCTTCAAATCTGCAGGGTTTTTTTGGGTTAAGACAGCCACTTGTTGGAACACCATATTGGAAGTGCCACACACCAGGTCATTTGAAACGGTGTTTGACCACTTGACGCGGAAGTGGCCTATCGGATTAGAGGGTATCGACATTGGACACCTACCTGCAGCTCGTCGCCTGGGAGTGGCCAAGCCGCAGCGAGCGCCGGAAGGGGGCGCACCCTTCGCCCTTCCCGGCATGGCCGGCAGCCCCGTCTCTCCGCTCGGCTTCCGGGAGTCGGCGACGATGGCGTCATCACCGAGCGCCGGGCCTACGGCAGCGCGGAGGCCGGCGGTGTGAGCAGGAAACATGCTGAGCCGGCTTCAGGAACTGCGGAAAGAGGAGGAGACGCTGCTGCGGTTGAAGGCGGCCCTGCACGACCAGCTGAACCGCCTCAAGGTGAGCCCGTGGCCCCTCCCGACTGTCCTCCGCTCCGCCCGAGCTAACCATTTCCCCCCGACCCGGGCTTCTGCGGTGCCCTCCTGCGGCCAGTTCTCCCCTACCCACCAGCCGTGGTGGCGCCCATGTACGGGTTGACAAACTCTGGGGAGTTTGCTGTGCGCCCGTTAGGCCCCACCTCCGAGAATCTTGACCCCGCAGGTCTAGGCTGAGGCCCAGGGATCTGTGTTTGGCAAGTCCAGCCCTACCTGATTCCTCCCGTAAATGCCGATGGCCCTCAGACAGCACGCTGGGGAAGGGCGCCCGAAGGCTCGCCTGGACCCCTGGGCCCACCGACCCCTTCCTTCCGAACTGCTGTTTTCTAGTTTGTCTTGGCGCTTGGAATGGCTCTAGTTTTGCAAAGCTAGGAGGGACTCCCAGATCCTCCCATGCTACCAAGGAAGACGGAGGCCCTGGGAGGAGAGGCTTGTCCCAATGTCTGCAGCTCCCAGTAGCTCTTTTTTTTTTTTTTTTTTTTTTTTTAGACGGAGTTTCACTCTCGTCACCCAGGCTGGAGTGCAATAATGGCGCGATCTCGGCTCGCCGCAACCTCCGCCTCCTGGGTTCAGGCAATTCTCCTGCCTCAGCCTCCTGAGTAGCTGGGACTACAGGCACGCACCACCATGCCCAGCTAATTTTTTTGTAGTTTTGGTAGAGACGGGGTTTCACCATGTTGACCAGGATGGTCTCGATCTCTTGACCTCGTGATCCACCCGCCTCGGCCTCCCAAAGTGCTGGGATTACAGGCCTGAGCCACCGCGCCCGGCTCCCAGTAGCTCTTGTTACTGACGCCATGGCCTTGAGGAGGAGTCGGGCAACCTCCGCCTTCTGGGCTCAGGCGAGTCTCCTGCTTCACCTTTCCAAGTTGCTGCCGGCATTACAGGCGTGCATCACCACGCCCGGCTAATTTTTAGTAGAGACAGGGTTTCGCCATGTTGCCCAGGCTGCTCTCAAACTCCTGAGCTCTAGGAATCAGCCTTCCAAAGTGCCGAGATTACAGGCGTAAGCCACCGCGGCCAGCCTTACCAAAAAAAATTAAAATTAGCTGAGCGTGTTGGTGCGCGCCTGTAGCCCAGCTACGGGGGAAACAGGTGAGAGGATGACCTGAGCCCAGGAGTCAACGCTGCGGACATCTGAGATTGTGCCACTGCACTCCAGCCTAGGCCAAAAGGTCCCTGGGAGGTGATCATGCTAATCCCCGCTCAGCTTCCTTTTTCAGAACCATTTTTTTTTTTTTTTTTTTTTTGAGACAGTTTTTCACTCTTGTCACCCAGGCTGGAGTGCAATGGCGTGATCTCGGCTCACTGCAACCTCCGCCTCCCAGGTTCAAGCGATTCTCCTGCCTCAGCCACCCGAGTAGCTGGGCTTACGGGTGTCCACCACCAGGCCCAGCTAATTTTTTGTATGTAGTACAAACGGGTTTCACCATGTTGGCCAGGCTGATCTCCCACTCCTGACCTCAGGTGATCCATCCGCCTAGGCCTCCCAAAGTGCTGGGATTACAGGCATGAGCCACCACACCGGCCCCTTTTTTCAGAAACTTTAAGTCCACATGAGGTTAAGATTGCCAAAGCCCTTTGTAAACTGAAAAGTATTATACACCTGTGACATATCACAATCATAGCATTTTTCCTTAGGGATATTATAATGCCCTCCACTTATTTGTGTCTCTATATTGCCACAATACAGTACCTGATGAGTGTATTGAGGACTGCCTCCAAAGTCCAGATTTCCTTATGCTTCAGGATACGCCTCTGTTTTCTGTTCTTTCCTCCACATCTCATTACTGAATAACAGGCTCAGGTCCAGGGAATCGCTCTGATGATACTTGTCTGTTTTATTGACACACTTGCACTTTTCTGAGTTGCTAGGTCTAGGGAAGTGGAAGCCATGGCTCAGCCAGAACACCTGTTCAGCCCAGGGGAAAGGGGCTGGAGTCCTTCTTCGCTCATCTCTAAAAGAGAGAAAATCTAAGCGCCTACTCTGCAACTTTCCCTCTAGAGCAACAGAGAGAGTTTTCATTCCCTCTCGATGCAAATCTTTTATGGTATGCCCAGCAGTTTACCCACATCGGTAGCCCAGTGAAATAGGAAAGTGACCTCAACTCTTCTTTTCTAGGTTGAAGAATTAGCCCTCCAATCAATGATCAGTTCTAGAAGAGGAGATGAGATACTGTCTTCTCAAACTGTACCTGAACAGTCACGTGATGTAAGTGTAATCAAGTGCAGGCCTAGGAGGGAATGCAATGCCCCTATGCTGCTTGGGTGGTGAAGAACTGATGTAAATCACATTACTTAGCCCAAAGGGCTCTGGGAAGTGCTGGTAAGAATTTTCTGTCTTAATAAGGTAGCAACTATACATTACCCACCTTCCTACCAGCAGGTTATACTCTAATTTATTAAGTAGTCATTAATGTTCTACCTCCATCCTCCTCATCCATTCTATCTGGTTACTCAGATGAACCCAGGGAAAGTGTGGATTTTTTGTAGGGATATGTCAAAACTCTTGCTCTTTTGTAAATAAGTAACCTTGGGATTCAAGAGTGTCGCTTCAGTTACAAAGCACCGTGCTAAAAGATGAGTTCCAGTCCTATCATACCCATCTCCTACCAGATGCCTTCAAGTCAGTCAGCAAAATCTTATTTTTGTTTTTGAGACGGAGTCTCACTGTCGCCAGGCTAGAGTGCTGAAGTGCAGTGGTGCAATCTTCGGCTCACTGTAACCTTGGACTCACAGGTTCAAGCGATTCTCCTGCCACAGCCTCCCAAATAACTGGGATTACAGGTACACGCCACCACACCTAGCTAATGTTTGTATTTTTAGTAGAGATGGGGTTTCACCATGTTGACCAGGATGGTCTCCATCTCCTGACCATGTGATCTGCCTGCCTCAGCCTCCCAAAGTGCTGTGATGACAGGTGTGAGCCACCGCACCCGGCCAGCAAAATCGTTTTTTTTAAGTCAAACCTGTGAGTTCAGCAAAATCATATTTCTAAGTATACAATATTTAAAGTTCTCGCAGATTTTATGTTAAGACATTTGAAACCATGATACAGCAGCATATGTAAGTTGGCACAATTCTTATGGACTTTTCTGTAATATGATGTTTGTAAATGAGGTAACATTCTAGTAAATCTGAGGTATTTACTTTTGCCCCATTTTGGTAATGGAGGTGGGGGTAGCAAAGGAAGGTGACCATACCTCTTAGTCATAAGTACTGGGGATAGATAGGCCATTGAGATTTGATTTTAAAACATTTTTAAGAATTTGCTGTTTAGAGGCCAGCATCCTTCCTACTAATCTGTGATGCCCTTGGTTAATACAGATGTTGGTGCATGTAGACAATGAAGCATCAATCAACCAAACGACACTGGAGTTGAGCACAAAGAGTCATGTGACAGAAGAGGAAGAGGAGGAAGACGAAGAATCAGATTCCTAAAGGAGGGAAAAACCAGGGTCAGTTACACAAATTGCATTTCTAAGTCTCAGACTACTTCTCCTCCAGGAAATCATCTTGCCACGGGCCCTGTGGCCTGCTTGAAAGAAAAGCAAGAACTATAAGAAGGATGTGTAGTTGCAAAAATAGTTCCATCAGTAACTGAAGCTTCAGAACGTTATGACGTGGAGAAAATGAAAGATGCTTTGTCAGCATTGAGCAATATGGATGGTGCTGTCTGTGATCTGATCAGATTCAGTAAGTGTTGAAAACAAAATTTGCTCTCAAATACTGATGAGAAAGTCTGGCATTTACAAAAAGGGCAGTTTAAATACAAGCCAGCCTTTCTTTTTTTTTTTTTTTTTTTTTTTTTTTTTTGAGACGGAGTTTCTCTCTTGTTACCCAGGCTGGAGTGCAATGGCGCAATCTCGGCTCACCGCAACCTCCGCCTCCTGGGTTCAGGCAATTCTCCTGCCTCAGCCTCCTGAGTAGCTGGGATTACAGGCACGCGCCACCATGCCCAGCTGATTTTTTGTATTTTTAGTAGAGACGGGGTTTCACCATGTTGACCAGGATGGTCTCGATCTCTTGACCTCGTGATCCACCCGCCTCGGCCTCCCAAAGTGCTGGGATTACAGGCTTGAGCCACCGCGCCCGGCCTACAAGCCAGCCTTTCTACCCAACAATGCCTCTTTTAAGAAAATTAAAGGCTGTCTGCATGCCGCTGAACCCTTGTGAGCAGTTAGGCCACAGTCTAGGACAAAAAGATGACCAGGGGAAGGACTGAGGGCCATCTGAGAGCACAAGCTGTCGCTCCCCCTCAGAGGCACTGAAACACTGCATGCTGTAAACTGCTTTGTGGGCCAGGCGCCGTGGCTCATGCCTGTAATCCCAGCACTTTGGGAGGGCAAGGAGGGGGATCACGAGGTCAGGAGATCAACACCATCCTGGCTAACAGTGAAACCCAGTCTCTAAAAATAAACTGCTTTGTGTAGCTGCTATCATCTCTCACTCGAGACATCACTGGTAAAATATTTTTATAAATAAATTATAAATAGCCATCATGGAGCCTGCTGGTTTCTAGGTAGCGAGAGAGAGAAGCAGCAGTTCCTTCTCTGAGGAAAAGATATAATAGGATGGGCCGGGCGCGGTGGCTCACGCCTGTAATCCAAGCACTTTGGAGGCGAAGGCAGGTGGATCACCTGAGGTTGGGAGTTCAAGACCAGCCTGATCAACATGGTGAAACCCCGTCTTTAAAAAAATAAAATAAAAAATAAAAAAGATACAACAGGATGGTTTGAAATCCATTTCTGGCCCTGAGAGAGATGTGCCATGCTTGGAAGATTGAATTTTCATAACGGATGACAGCTACAGAATAAGAATTGTTACTTAGTATCTGAAGTTGAAGCTCTTTTCTGCATACTGTCCCCTTTTCCACTGACTACTATGCAGTAAGTAGTTAATTTTATAAAATTAATTTCCCCTGTCCAAACAACAGTAAAAGCCAAACAAAATGACAAAGAACTTTCTCAAGTAGAACTTACCTAACAGTTCCCAAAGAATACTTTTGTTAACGTTACATTGAAATTATTTTGAGCTGCTCTTAGAGGAAACAGCCAGAGGTTTAAATGAGCATATTCCTTAGAACACACAATGGGAAGACAGTTTGGGAACAAAAAGCATCAAGGTACATCAATCTTGGGGGTCTAATTTAAAATAGAGCATGGGTTTTAAAAGCTGGAAAAGTTGACTGAATTCCAGCTCTACCACTGACTGGTCACTTTCCCATCTGTAAGGTGAAGATTCTCGTATCTGCTCTAGCAGTTTCACAGGTTGCTATGAGGTGCTAATGAGATAATTTAAAAATCCAACTATCATTGGTGTCTCAGTAAGAATTTAGCATTGAAAGCTCAAAATACTACAAGACTCACTCATTCAGGGAACATCATTCTTCGTTTAAAAAAAAAATCTAAACACCCCTCAAAAGACTCTGAGCATGAAAGTGGTCAGATCTAGGTTTTAGACACCAACATTTCTCCTAAGGATACAATATGCTCATTTTAATGAGACATTCTCAGTAGTGTGGTACCTGTCATTTGTAAAAGACACAGGGTGTAAATGTTAAAACCCAGCCTGAATGTTTATATGCTGAAAATGCATAAATTAAACTGCGGACTAGAAAAGCTGTACCTCACAGTGCGAAAAAACAACTAGCTTAGGCAGCAGCAGATAGATACAACACTGATCTTTTTTTTTTTTTTTTTTTTTGAGACAGAGTTTCACTCATGTTACCCAGGCTGGAGTGCAATGGCGCAATCTCGGCTCACCGCAACCTCCGCCTCCTGGGTTCAGGCAATTCTCCTGCCTCAGCCTCCTGAGCAGCTGGGATTACAGGCACGCGCCACCATGCCCAGCTAATTTTTTGTAGTTTTAGTAGAGACGGGGTTTCACCATGTTGACCAGGATGGTCTCGATCTCTTGACCTCGTGATCCACCCGCCTCGGCCTCCCACAGTGCTGGGATTACAGGCGTGAGCCACCGCGCCCGGCCTAACACTGATCCTTTTTAAATCCTGGCAATATCCCAAGCTCTGGTACCTCTAGGTTGGAACTACCTATTTAGAAGATTACTTACCCAAGTTTAGTTTTTAATCTAAAAAGGAATGGGCCTTTTATTTTTAATTATATATGTTGGCTTTGGTATTCTATCACCTGCCCTTTCAAAGAAAATAATGAGGGGAGAGCTATTGACCAGGCAGCCTCAAATGTACCTAAAAGTTCCCAGAGACTTTTCAAATAAGGAAAGCCCCCTGTGGTCAGTGGGCCATGGCTTAGGGACATCATTGCCACCTCACAGGCATGACAAAGCCAGTGACAGGCACCTCCAGAAGACCTAGTTAAGTGTAAGTGGTGAAAAAAGGGAAACCATTGCTTAATGTGGAAGCGGACGGGCTGTGCTGTCTGGTGCAGAAAGCTCCCAGTCACCAGCAAGGCCCTCCTGTGAGCATGACAGCTTGGAAGTGCAGGCAGGCCCTCAGCTCAACTCTGGGTATGTGGAAAATGAGAAATGTTCTGCGAGATAAGAAATGTTTTGTGATTTTACTCAGATTTGTTCCCAGCATTCCATCTGCTGCTTTTCCCTTGTACAAAGAGATCAAAGGAATACACAGGATCTATTCACAGGTCCCACAGGAAGGTGGTTGGGAGGGTGTTGGGTGAGAAGAGTTGGACTGAGCCCAGAGATTGAAATGACGGGAAGCCCCGTTAGTCCAAAGCGCTGAACTTCATGTGCTGTTTCTGCCTTCCAGCCTCCTTATCTTCAACTTTCCCCCTCACCAATAATGCTTAGCTAAACCAGTATTTCTTGTGTACTAAAGAAATTGAAAAGCTCACCACAAAAGCAAAAATAGCGTTCATTTTTTTTTAACTTCATAGTATATTTATTAGAATAGGAGGTTAGATTTGTTAAACATCTAGGTTAAAATGGTTAAAAGGATTTTCATACAATTTTAGGCACTATACACGTTGTTTACAACAGCATTGGTACTTGGATATGGGGAAAGATAAATCTGACAATTTAATGCCTTGATCAATTTGTAACAATCAAAATAATTCCACCATTTAAGAAACATTAATCAAAACTTAAAGAGACATACCACTAAGTATCCCACACAGTATATTGAAAATAAATAGAGAAATACAACCAGAAGTCTACAGATCATCAAGTAGACAGACTGGTGAAGCCCCAGCTATCATGGCAGTGAAGGGCTCTGGCTAGATTTGGATGTAAACTGCTGAGTTCTACATGAAAAGCAAATAATAATAAAATAACAGAATGTACACTTTCTGATGCTCATTTTCATAGCAGCAAAGCATGCTTCACATGCACTGCCTGTGAAGGATCTCACAAGGCTCCCTCCTACTCAGAGAAAGTATGCCCAGCAAGAAAAAAGTACCACCAAATGTCAAAGAATCCCGAAAACACAGGCAGACGGCCAGTCACGGAGCAGGAACAGCAGTGCGATTGTAAGAATGACTGCCCACAGTCACCAAAATTTCACTGTAATTCAGCCTGGCACGAGTTTGGATCATCAACATCTACACAAATAGCCCCAAGCACAAAGCCAATCCACTTAGGGGAACAATAATAGTAATAAGAATAAAGACAGTAATATTAAAATGACAAGAGTAGAATCTTGGCACATGCTGTGATCTTCATCCTTTGTCACAGGTGAAATGCACATCTGAACAGAGACAGGCATGGGAAGGAGGCCCAAAAGCAACATGGCAAACCACTGGGCAGGGGACTGGCTCTTTGCTGCTTCCCAAACACTTAGACGCCAGCAGCATGGGTTGGCGTGCTGGGCTGGTTAAGGCCAATGGTGGAGCAGAGCCAACCTGCAAAATCCACTTCCTCAGCGTCAGATCTCTTGATAAAAGCATGAACCTGCATGTAAGGAAACAAGAAAAAGTGGTGTTTAAACGAAAAAAAAAAAATCCAGGAAGGAAACTCCCAGAGTTTCAGGTCTAGAGCTTGTGTTACACGTGGAAGGAGCACCTGGTACCTGCCCCTGCGCAGCAGTGGGGGCAGCTGCAGGCCCAAACACCCGCTCCACCAGTCACAGCAACTGTGAGGCCTTGGGCAAGTCACTTCCCAAAGAGCCTGCTCTCGCAGTATGGAGACAGTAACTCTGCCTTAAATGCGTCGAAGGCTTGTAAGAAGGGACAAAGAAAATAATGGACTTAGTGCATATTACAGTGCATACACTGTCTATGGCCGTCCACATATTTACAGTATTACTTAGCTATTCCCACTGCCACCAAACAAGAGACAGCAGGCAGAGAGTGACTCAGGAAGGAGGCTGAATATAAGGCAGTCACTATCAGGAAAAGGCCCCATCCCCATGAAGGACATGGGCTGACCTTTTCTTTCCCTTGGCCCCCTCAGGCCCTTCCTGTGGCAAGCTTATTCAGGCTGCGGGGTCACCCTAGCTTTCCCTTAAACTGATGGGAGGGCGGAGGAGACTCATGTTTGGTATTCTGCAGTCCCAGGCTCAGTGGGACCACAGTGGGCAGGGAATGAATGGGATCTGGAAGTGCACAGATGTCTGACAGAGAACAACAAATGAACACACAGGTACTGTAAGAATCCGGAATAAATGGACTCACCATGAGTTGCTTCAAATCTGCTCTCTCTGCCGGGTTTTTTATTAAGCTTAAAGGAAGAAAGATAAGGTGAGAGCTGAGTTAAACTAAGGTCAAAAAGCAATGTGCCAATCCCTGGAGAGCAAGTATCAAAAGCAACAGCTACTATATCCATGATGTAGTTAGACATGTCACGTAAGTCTTGCCTCTCTAAAAAAAAAAAGGCTATGGCAGCAACCAAGGATCATCGGAGGGGAGGGGAAAGGGCAAAACTGTGCCTGCAGAGGCAAAGCTGGTGCTTCCAGAAATGGGGCGGGGAGCCTGACAAATACAGAGTACCCTTCCAGAGAACAGGGAACCAACCAACTCACCATTTATTCACAAAATCTTGAAATTCCAGGCTGAACACTCCACTGGGCAGTTTTGGAGGAGGCTGCAAACACATGTTGAGATAAGAAAAACGCCTGGCTCCTTGCTCCACCATCTCCTCTCCCCATCCCCCGCCCCCCCCTCCAGCCAGTGCTACTTTTTTTTAAGTCTTCTCTGCAGTCCAAAGGCAGTGCCACTCTCATCCAGTCAAGGAAAGGCACAGGTGGAAGGCCAGTGGCTGCCTTTTGGGTAACCACGTTAGAACCACTGGTCTCAAACAGCACAGAATTGGGACTGAGTCAAGTCTACTCACTTGTCTGGTGATTTTGAACTAATCACCATTCCTCTCTGAGCCTGTTTACTCTGCTATGACATGAAGGGGTTGGGCCTAATGATCTCGGGGACCCTTTCAAGCTCTGACACTACAATGATAGATCTTGGAGTGCGGCATGGAAATGTAACTAGCAATTTACTAGCAGCAACAGCTAGGGGCAAACCACCAGGCATAGCCCAGGTCTGACAGCACCTGCAGGAGCAAACCAGATTAAAAATTTCTTTTCTGAGCCCTAGAGAAACAGTGAAAAGTTAATAAAACATTAACTGACAGAGAGCTGGATCTGGAAGAAAGTTACCTGTAGTACACTCCAGGAATTAGGCTGTTTTCAGATTTTCCCATAGTGATCATGCAGCGCTACAGAGTACAAAGCCCCAGAGCATTGGGCTCATGTGTTCCACGCAGTCCAGGAAATGTGAGCCCACTCACGTACCTGGGCTGGGAGCTGTGTGCAGCTTCTTTGGGAGACACTGGCCCGTAGACATCATGTCCGTGATGTCACTGCTCTGATGCACAGCCCCAAATCTCATTTCTAATTTGAGACTAAAAATGAAACACTGATACCCCACCACCACCATAAAGCCCAATCTAGTGCTCTGCCTCTGAGGAACGTGTCAGTCTGATCTGAGGTGAGGACTAGAACCAAGCTCTTAGAACAGTGACCCAGAGCAAGCCCTACCCTGCAGACTGTCCCTGCTGCTGAGGGGATGAAGGGACCATTCAAGAGAGAGAGGCAGCATCCATTCCTTCTGAGTAGGAGAGAGCTAGGCAGCAGAGGGGCTGTGTGCCGGCAGAGGCTGAGGCCCACCCACTACCATGCAGCCAAGCCTCCTAGGAGGCAGGAATGGGAGGTAGGAGGTGGTGAGAAAAAAGAGCCCTGGGTGGGAAGGACCTGGGCTACTTTTCATCTTGGAGGCTTAATTTCCTCACCTGTTTGAAGAGGAACCAATTTGGCCTACCTCAGCAATACTTGGGAGAGCTGAATAGGAAATTAATGTGAAAATTTAGAAGAAAGCAGTGCCCGTTAGGAGACTGGCAATGACATAGCTAACCTTGGATATCCCTTCCCCTTATATGAACAGCACCCCAGAACCACCCAGCTTAGGTACCCAGCAGTAGAGGGTGGATGGCTTTTTTCTGACTTCTACGAATCCTTAAGCAGCAAGGATCTGATCCTGAAACCGCAAAAGCACTTTTCTACAGCCCATGGTGCTTAGTATAAAGCTGTGCAGCTAGTAGAGAGAGGTAATTAGACTGAACCTGTGACAGCGATTTTTTGTTGTTGGGCTGTTTTCATTCCTCCCCCGCCCCCCCCCCAAGAGCCAGGGTCTCACTG